CATGTGAACGGGTACGCTCACCTGATATCGCCTCTTTTCTACACCTATCTTCGCTGCTGCCTTAGGGCTTATATATGAACAAGTAGCTCCAGTGTCCCAGAGCGTAGTTAGCTTTATTCCATTAATGAAAATGTCCGATTTAGGTTGATCTCTGGAAACGGAAGGGATGAGGAGATGATTATCGACATTGCATGAACAAGGGGTACTGAGTGGTGTATTTTTGTATTCACAATCCTCTGGCTCCATCAGCTGTGTTTCTTTTATGGGTTTGGGAATGGTGGCCGAGAGAATATGGCGGACCCGCCGAGCCTCGCCTACTGCGACAGGTCCTCTTCTTTTCCCTGGTCCTCTTCCAAATCTACTTCTCCTCCAACCGCATTCAAGTTCCTCCTCTGTCCGAGAGGTACTGCGTTCCCTCCCGATCCTCCACCACGTTCTCCGAACTTCTCCCCCCATGGAGGCAACAGTCCAACCTTAACCTTAGCCTCCCTTACAGGGCATTCCTTCAGCCAATGTCCTGCTTCACCACACTCGGTACACTTCCCCTCCTTCCTCCTTGTCTCCCTCAGATCGGAGCTCGGCCTAGGCCATCTTCGGCGAACTTCGTCGATGTTTGGCGGTGTACTCTTTACCACCGTCGACATCATAGCCGCCTGGACACCACCCTGCGCCGAAGGTTGCCCCTTTTCCCATTTCTTCTCTTCTTTCTTCTCCGTCCTCTGACTTTCCACCACTGTCGTTGTCCTTATCCCTCCTTCCCTTTTCCTCTCTGCCTCCTTCTCCACTTGTCTCCTCCACAGGCGGTTGTCCAAGGGAATCACAAACTCCAATAGCTCTTTCACAGTCCCAAACGATCTACCGTGTCTTGCAATTTCATCTAGAAGGTGCGATTTTAGTCCTTTCTTGGCTCGGTCAACTAGGTTTCCATCATCAGACCACTTAAGAATCGCAACATGTCGCTGGAAGGCGGAGAAGTAGTCCGAAGCAGACCCGGTTTGCTTGAGGTCGTTAAGTTGTCGGGCCGCAGTTCCTTCTTCGTCTGGATCACCAAAGTTAGTCTTGAGGTACTTAACGAACTGATCGTGTGTCGTGAGGTACTCAGGAAGAGGTCTTTTGGATAGATCGGGCTGCACTGCAAGAAGAGGTGTTTCGCGTAGATGAGAGATCATGAAAAAGACTTTCTTAGTGTCGTCGGGGAAAAGATGAGAGTTCAATTCGAAATGTACGTCGCACTCAGACAGAAAGGCGGTTAACTTGTTCCGATCTCCTCTCCAGAGGTCTGGGTTAGGTAGCTTTATCCCCTTCCGTTGTTCGCCCACTACGCTTGGGGTCGCCGAAGTTTGCCGTCCCATGGCGTACCTCACTCCTTCTGATATCCCTTCTGCAATCCCGCCCACTGTATCCCTTTCTCTTCTCTGTTCCCATTCCTCCCTACGCCTTCTCTCCTCCATCATGTCTTTGTTCATATTCGCCACCATCTGCATCAAGGCCAACACCACCCCTTGTGTTCCTTCTTCTCCCAAGTTCGCCGTACTTCCAGTGTTTTCTCTTGGGCGTGGGGTTTGGTCTGATCCAAGTGGGGATCCCGCAGGTGGGAGAGCATTAGACGGAGGAGAAGGAGGGTTAGAAGGCACCGGTGGAACGAACTCATCTCCTTGAATTGATCCCCCCACACTATCCTCCACTCCAAGGTCCTGCCCCATTGCTCTGCTAAGCTCCTCCAATGCTCTCCTCTCGTTCTCCTCCATCCTGTCTCCATCCCTACTCATCCCTCGTGTAATTCTTCTTTCTGGTTCCATATTATCTTTGTACTTCTCCGAGGTTCGCACGGGTCGTCGGTAAGAGCGATCCTTGATACTGTCACGGCCGTCGAACAACTATTTCTTAATAGACCGACGGTCGACGAACCTCGGCTAACTTCACGCTCTGAGTCGATGTCTCACCCAACCAGGAGGGCGCAGACGTCGAAAGGGGTGTAACTACGGCGTACTTCGGCGTAGTTACTCTAACTAGGGTTTTGTTCTACTGATGGCGATGTATCTTGATTTATAGCTATCTCTATCTGTCTTTCACTACTGACAACAATCAAGGATCGCTGAAGAACTTCAGCGATCTTCTCAGCTAATATTATCTACTCCTCCTAGACGTTCATCCAACCCTCTCGCGCTTTGATGTACTTCAACGCACTTCGTCCAACTTCCCCGAGCCCTCGGCCATCCTCTTCCTCCTTCGACTAACTCCGCCTAACATCGCCGCACTTCTGCTCCCATTGTCCCTACTTAGCCTAACTCCGCCTAACATCGCCGCACTTCTGCTCCCATTGTCCCTACTTAGCCTAACCCCGTCCAACTTCGCCGTACTTCTGCTCCCATTGTTCCTACTTAGCCTAACTCCGCCTAACATCGCCGCACTTCTGCTCCCATTGTCCCTACTTAGCCTAACTCCGTCTAACTTCGCCGTACTTGGTGTCAGAAGTCCTGAGTTACGTGTAGAGTAAAGAGGTTAAGGCGTGATGGGGTTTTGATGGCCAAAGGAGGGTCATTGTTGGTGGAGTAATCGAGGTGTCACGACGTAGTTCGTGACACTCGGCTAACTACGTCGTAGTGGGGCGTCGTTGTCTCACTAAGACAGGGTACTCGTCGAGGTACTACGGCTAACTTTGCCGTAGTGATACGTCGAGTGATAAACTGATAAGATGATCGTCGATGAACTGCGGCTAACTTCGCCGTAGTACGTTGAACTGCTCGGTGGTAGCTCTCCTTAACTCGAAGGTTGTAGCTACTGAATATATCTCTCGCTACTGACAACAATCAAGGATCGCTGAAGAAGTTCAGCGATCTGTAAACTATCTATACTACTCCTCTCTTCTCATAGAACGTCCCTCAACTCCTGCACTGCCTCACGCTCAGTCCTCTTCGCTCAACTTCGCCGTACCTCGCCATATCCCCGATATCCTACTCCGCTTACTTTGACGAACTTCGCCTAACTTCCCCTGTTCTGCTCTCCCTCAGTTCCCTTCCCCTAACTTCGCCGTAGTTCTCCGCTAGGCGGGGTTATCGTGACAAATCCCCCCTTGGTTCTCGTAACTTCGCTGTAGTTGGTCTCAGTGGTTCGAGTGGAGGTCGGTGATGGTGAAAGGAGGGTCGGTGATCAGGGATGTTACGACGTAGTTCGTGACATATGTGATGGATTGTGTCACGAGACATACTGACCAGCATATGCACGATATAACAGTGCCCAACGGAACAGTGATCTTAACCACTGCGACGAAAAGGCCTATTAATCGGCGGTTAACTCTACCGCCGATCGCTGGTTAAATACCCTTCCCCGACTTTCGCTCGACTTGTCACACACTTTGTGACATAAAACAAGCCTACTATAAGAACTATAGCGTGAATGGCTTGCACAGACTCATGTACAAGGGGAACCGGAGTGCCCGGAGAAAACCCCTTGTTGGGCATGGGAATCGAACCCATGACCACATTACACTGATAGTTCCCATTCCACCATCAATGGCTAGCCAGTTTAACCACTTAGCCGAGGTGGAGTGGACCACTGCGACGAAAAGGCCTAATAATCGGCGGTTAACCCTACCGCTGATCGCTGGTTAAATACCCTTCCCCGACTTTCGCTCAACTCGTCACACGCTTTGTGACAGATTGTGTCTCCTCTGCAATCGATGTAGCTGTCACGTGGTACCGCGTGACATCATCTTTTCCCATCAACGAGGTTCCTTTGGACATCAGTTCGCCATCAACGATCCAGTTCTCATGAACTTCACCACCCACGAGGGTATTAGGAGGCTAGCTTCGTCGAGGACGAAGTTAGTCATGTAGGAAGTTAGGGAGGTACGAAGTTAGAGAGATACGAGGTTAGGGAGGTATGAAGTTAGGGAGGTATGAAGTCAGGGAGGCACGAACTTCGTTGGGGACGAAGTTCACGAGGTACGAAGCTCGGGAATTCGGGTTGAACAAAGTTCTGCGTTGAAGAAATTAGGGAAGGACGAAGTACTTAAGGGCCAAAGTTCCCAGAGATCTCTGACGATCTCTGGTTGTTGTCTTAGTGATAGAAGTTAGTAAAGTACGAAGTTATTACACCCAGAAGTTATTGTCACCTGTTTCATATTTCGAACAACGAGGTTGTTAAAGGTCAAAGCCCACGAAGTTATTGGCCGTCGGTCCTAGGAAGTTAACGAAGAAACCACCCTGTGACACAGTCCTCTTGTACGAGTTGGCCGAAGTGAGGACGATCACGTCCATGACATCGAGGCTCTCTATATGGCCTCAATTGGAGGAACAGATGTTGACTTCCGCTATTTGGGATCTGTTCGACCAGGCGATTGAGGACAACACACCCTATCTGGTTGAAGTTGCTTGGCATGAGAGGAGTGATTGAGCATGTGTATAACAGAGTTGACAGACCTCATGGTCGTACCATGTTGACGTTGTTGCTGCATGATGCATGATGCATGATGCACTGCCAAGTTGCAAGCGGGATGTAAGACACTTTGTGAGTATGTAACAGGAGGGACTTGACACGTGTGGAAGGACCAGAAAAGGTCTTGATTATGACTTTTCAACGTTTTTGGGTTTAAATTACACCCTTTCTGTGGGCAAGTTCTTAATTACACCCACCTTCCTGGACCACTAATGCATGCTTTGCATGCATTAAAAACACTCTCCTCCACCCCTAACCACCTAACCCCCTAATCCCCTAACTTCCCCTAACGTTGTTCTGACTTGGTGCCCAAAGTCAACCCTAACCGGGGGGAATGTAAAAGGAACCCCTCCACCAAGACCAGGATCTCGGAAACGGGCGTAATTTAGACCCAAAAACGTTGAAAAGTCGTAATTAAGACCTTTTCTGGTGGAAGGACTACGGAGGACCTTCCTTTGATGATGACCAACAACAAGTATCCTTCCATCTTTGATTCTTCATCTTCATCTCACTTCTGACTCGCTTTGGTGGACTCACGCTCGTGATCGTGACGGCAACCCGGAATGGCTTATTATTCGCAGAACGGACAGGGTTATGGTCAAGGAGAGTATGGTGGTGAGTACGGCTACGAACAACGTGGGGAGGGTGGATATCCCCAACAAGGAGAACAGAGGTATGCACAGTATCCCCAAGAGGGTCATCAACAGGGATATGGTCAGTACCCTCAACAGGGTTATGAAGAAGAATATGGTGGACGAGAGAGGGAAGAGTATGATGGGAGAGAAGAGTGAGTCGTCTTTCTTCTTCGTGTTACAGAGCACTTAGGTCGTTTTGATGGGATTTGAGAAGAACTCGGTCAAGCTGATGAAAAGATACCAACGTGCCCCACCTCCGGGACCCTACGAACCGAAGTGAGTTCTTCTTATTTCTCTCTCTCTCTCTTGTCTGGAGCTCCAATCTCACACTCGATCGGCCCACCCTTCTTCTCCTCTCCCCTCTCCAGCAGGGCCTGGCACTGGACGAGTTCATAAGAACATTGTCGAGATTATACTGATGACAGTGCGGCCGGATATACCCCACCAGGAGAAATCCAACAAGCTTATCAGCCACCATACGGACAAGAACGTGATTATGCTCCTCAAGGCCAAGGTCAAGGACAGGGACAATACTTTGAATATTCTCGATGTAATGGGAAGAAAAAAGCGTTGTTGGTGAGTTTTCATATTCTGTTCGTCTCCCTACACCTTCGACTTGACTCCCACTTGAGCTACACGAATGCCCATGTTTCTAGACGTTCGAGGAGTGGCACAGAGCTACTTAAGTTTTGATTTCGTGTTCGGGCCCGGTCTTTCGTGCCGATTGTCGATCTGAGCATCATCAGAAGGCATTTCCATCCAAGTGCGGGAGGGACGAAATCAAATGTGAGGGTTGAAATGTTGCTGATGTCAGATTGGGATCAACTATATTGGTTCGGATAATGAACTGAAGGGATGTATAAATGACGCACATAACGTCGAGAGGTTTATCTGTGGTAAGTTCTCCCTCTTTCCCTCCTCCCCCTTCCCTTTCTTCTGCGTGCTTGTGTAGACCCACAATTATCATTTCAATTCCGTCACATCGAACCGTGGATTCTAAACATTTTTTACCATTGATATCGATGAGAACACTTTCTGTCAGAGTAAAGAGGGAGAGGAGTGAAACACAAAGCTCTATCACCTCACAAATTCCAGTCTAAATGGAGATGGACCCGAGGAATGATATGATAAAATGCTCAAACTCATGCTAATGGAAGAACGATTCAGATACGATCCTTCGGATATAGTCATGTTGACAGATGATTCCCCCGACCCTAGAGCTTTGCCTACTAAGGAGAATATGATAAGAGGTATGGAATGGTTATGTGCGGATGCTCAAAGAGATGACAGTTTATTCTTTCATTAGTGAGTTGTTTCTCCATACTTCTTAAATCACACACAACTTGATCATCTCCTTAGTATTGATCGATCGCACTACTCGGTAATCCCTACATATACTACTCACTACTCAACTTGAGCTCTGATGAAGAGTCTCGACTTTCTTTACAATATGTCCATCTACACTATTTGACTGTATCTGGAGGATGGTCTGGATCGCCGTTGTCGTCCTCAGACACAAGCTGATGCACAGTTCGGGACATGGAACACAGGTACAGGATGAAAATGGGGACGAAGAAGATGGGATAGATGAAGGTATGTTTATTTCCATCCTCTACATCATGATCCGTCTCTAGCTATACGGTACACCAACAAAATATGAAGGCCGCTGCTTCGGCCTGGTCCAACAGATAGAGCTAAATTTAGCTATCTGCCCAATGGATTTCCGAGATGCTGGTTTGATAATTGATGATGATAGTGAGTTGAATGCCCCATCTTCTACTCTTCACTCACTTGCTCACCACCGTCATCTAAACCCTCTCGCTGACTCATTGTGAACTAAATCACGTTCGTCGATCTCCTTGACAGGTTGATGCGAATGTCACATCACGTGGAAGGTATGATGTCAGAGTCTTCAGCTGACCAGCAGTGTGAGTTTCGACACAAGTGCATCATTGAAGGATTGAACCAACGTCAGCTTCCAACTTCTCGTCCGACCTCTACCTGCCGGATGCAGGCTCACAGCCATCTTCGATTCTTGTCATTCTGGCACAGTATCTGATCTTCCTTATGTCGTGAGTCATCTCTCCTTCCGCTCCCCTTTGCTCATCATTCTCCTGACAAGCACTTCGGCCTCATCCACCAAAGATGTAACACCTCCACAATAGACCTTCCATCGGGAATTTGTGTATTCCTTCAATACCGAGAGCCCATCGACCTGGAACGGCTTCAAGTCTTCGAAGTCGTCGGCAGGATCAGACACGCGGTGACGATACTAACTTTAGTACACCACAGAAGGAAAGATCGAAGATGCCAACTATCTCGCCGGTGCAGAAAACGGTCTTCTCGGGGCTGGTTTAGCTTTCTTCAGAGGAGAAAGATCTGAAGGCGTAAAAGATTTGATTGGGATTGCTAAAAGCGCTTGGAACGTCAAACAGGCTGAACAGAGGAATAGGAGTCAAAATACCGCCCCTGCGGATGTTATCATGTTTTCTGGCTGTTTGGACTCGCAAACTGTCAGTCTAGTCCCTATTGACACGCACACACTCCCTCTGTGTGCGTCTTTTCGGGCGGAGAAGTGGTGAAGCTAATCGCTATGAAGAGTGAGATGTATATGTGAGATAAGGGATGGCGCGATCTCTCCCGCGCTTGCGTGATGAGGCTAAGGAACTCAATAGCGGGGGAGAAAGGGAAATCTCGGGGAAAGGTACAGCGAAGAAAGCACTCACATTCAGTCCGCCGACACACAAGAAGCAGGTAGAGCTACCGGTGCCATGTCATACGCTTTCATCGCCGCCTTGACCAAATACCCAAAGCAAAGTTATCAACAATTGTTATGTACCATACGGGAAGAACTGGAAGGAAGGTATTCACAAGATCCTCAATTATCAGCTTGTCATCGTCAGTCCAAGATCTCTTTACCCCAGCTCACTTTATACATCTCTCCCTGCTGTCATTATCCTTCTTTCTCCTTCTGTCGTGGATATTTATAGACTTACGTCGGTCTCCCTGGGGTTTCTAGACTGACATGATAGCGATCGACACGGAGCTCGAGTTTGTGGCCTAGCCATTCTGTTGCCTAGCCCATGTTTGACCTTACACCTACCAGTAGTAGTGGTGTCAGCTAGTCAACAACGCGATGTTGTATCTACTTGGACTGAGAAGCTATCCCCACAAATTTCAGATTTAGCTACATATGTATATGTGAAGTGAACCTGACCCAGATATTACTGTTTTTGCACACGACGCGTCTCAAAAGTCAATAAATAGGCACGCCGGGAACTTCACTTTTCCCGCGCCTAATCTCTTTCTGACGTGACTGTCTTTTTCCCATCCACCATTTGGACTAACTTACTTTGGTGTGGTATACTTGTCAGCTATCCATGTCCATACCTCTATACATATCTTGTACACTCCAATTCTGAAATAGAATCAGCGAGGAGGAAGAATGGGTATCTCAGGTTTACTCCCTATGCTCAAGGGTATCCAGGTAGATGGTCATATTTCTCATTTCAAAGGCAAACGGTTAGTTCTGTATAAAGTAGTAGACATCTGCTGACTCTCAGTTTGGCAGTGGATGTATGTCTTTCTTCTCACTCCAAGCGATATTGTAGCTGTGACGCGTACTCCTCATGCTTCATGGTCAGATTGGGTGTCCACTCACGTATTCACCCTTCCCAACATCCTCCCCGAATATACCGCTCTCTGTGCTTCGTATGGGTGATCCTTGACTGAGAGGGGTGGAGAGTTTCCAAGTGAGACAGAGCTGACTACAAGGCATACGTGTGGCTCCATAAAGGTGCTTTTGGATGCGCCGAGGATCTCGTCAAAGGCAAAAAGACCACAAAGTGAGTTTACGATTTTACTTCTCTTCCATGAGCTTACTTTCCTATGGTTCCTGCTCTTGTCTTCTGATCGTTTGATTCTTGGACGAGAACGATCGAAATTTCTACTTCATCGTATATTGTGTAAGGTATATAGGAGGATGCTCGGAGCGTCGCATGTTGTACACCGAATGAGTTGGACGAGCTAACGGGCAGATTCGTCGATTATGCCATGCACCGTGTTAGACTTCTCAAGCATCATGGTATCACCCCGTTTATCGTCTTTGATGGAGGCCCTTTACCAGCCAAGAAAGGGACGGAAGTTTCACGAGCGAAGTGAGTCTTATCCTCTACATAGAATTATTCCCTCTCAACCTCTCTTGCCATGAAACATTCCTTCTTTGGGCCGCTGTATGTGGCACAGCTCGAGGGATCTAAAGAGGCAATAGCATGATCTCAACAATCAAGTTGTGAGATAGGGTTATTTGGCTGACCACAGATCCCGAGCTGAGTATCTGGCTCGAGCACAGTCCATGGAATCCCAAGGACGATGGAAAGAAGCTCGAGAATGTTACACCAAATGTGTAGATATCACCCCGGAGATGGCGTACCAGTTGATAAAGGTGAGAGTTTGTTCTCCGTGGTAAGGACCATACGGACAACTGATGAGTAGGCTTTACGCGCCGAAGGAATAGAGTATGTCGTGGCTCCATATGAAGCGGACGCCCAGTTGTGTTTTTTGGAGAGAGAAGGATGGGTTGATGGGATCATCACTGAAGATTCGGATCTTCTAGTTTTTGGGTGTAAGCAGGTGAGTACTTCGACAGACTTGGTCTGAACCGCTGGCCTCTGTGATTTCCCACCTTTCCCAGGCGACATATCTCCTCTGTTCTCGTCTTGTCATTATACACGTCTTTGTGCGTATGAGGAGCATCATAGACCTAGCGTTGACGAAGTCCGACTGATCCAAGCTCATTCACAGGTTGTCTTCAAGCTTGACCATAACGGTCAATGTGTCTGGATTCATAGAGAACGTTTAGCCTCCATCCGTGATTTCCCCATGCACGGCTGGACAGACCATCATTTTCGTCGTATGGCGGTAGGTCATTGTTCTATTTCATAGTGATTCTCACTGATGTACAGATGCTCAGTGGCTGTGACTACCTTGACTCCATTCAAGGCATAGGTATCAAAACTGCCCATCGTTTGCTCCGAAAGCATAAGACAGTCGAGAAGGTCCTTCAAAATGTCCGATTGGACGGGATGAATGTGCCCAAAGATTATGTCAAAATGTTTAACCAAGCCGAATTGGCTTTCATCCACCAACGGGTGTATGATCCGGGTTCGAAACGTTTGGTTCCGCTGAATGACTTTCCAGAAACGGGCTTGAATGAGGAGGACGAGAGATGGGTCGGGCTGTACGTGTATTCTTCCATGCGCTCTAGTCAAGTGTGGCTGATCTCCGAGGGATTTGGCAGAGGATATCGCAAGAGGGGTAGCCACTGGAGATCTACATCCAGAGACCAGGGACAAGATCCAAGATCTCTGGCCGGACTTCATGCCAAGTAGTAAGAACAAGGTCCACCCTGCGACCAACACGAAACAACCTGTCCAAGCAGGACCTCTGGATGCTTTCATCTCCCGTCAGCTATTCTGTTGGACGAGGGCCACGCTGACTGCTAGGATCTAAGAAGGCAAAGCCATCCCTACCTAGACCGGTCGGCGCGCCAGGTCACGGACCCGCTAGGTTATCCGACAGTGCTATACCTGTAGCTTGTGTGCAGAGAAGTAAATTTTTCGCCTCCAAGTCCGCTCCGAATCTCAGTCTTTCCGCCAAGTCAGGTTTCGCGGAAGAGACTATACCGTTAAACTGGGAATCTTCCCCTCCGCAACCGCTCGAAGTCGAAGATTCCCCTACACCGTCGTCTCCCAATGTCTTTATCTCCTCTCCCCCGGTCATGCGTTCCCCCTCTCCTATCATTTCATCATTGCCACAACAATCCACTCCTACTAAAGACGATGCCTACGACGATCACGTCTTCACTTCGCCTCTCGGGTCGATGTTCACTCCTATCTCTTCCCCACCCAATATAGAAACACTCACATCCCCACGTAAACGGTCACCTACGCGGTCGGATAGCCCGTCGTCCCCCACTCGTTCGCAAGGGTCGCAAGGTTTTTCGGAGACTTTGATGTTTTCTTCTGCCACGTCTATCTTCGAGTGGCCGGATGTGCGCACGCCGATGGGTCCAGAAAAGGGTAAGACGACTGGTATGAAGACGTGGCCTGACCGAGTCCGCACTCCTGTACAGGATGTTGGAGCTACAACGAAGAACTCTAGGGACTCTTGTTTGAGCGATGTTCGCTCGGTGGGATCAAAAAATGTAAAGAAGGCTATTGTCTCGAACGATCAAGCTAGGGTGGAAGAGAAAGAGAATCAACCGCTCAAAAGCGAACGGGAGCGATCCATCTCTGTGGATAGTTTTGCAGAAGAGGAAACGAATACTCCTTTGCCCCTCAAACGGAAGAGACAGGAGTGTGAGAAACAGAGGGAAGAGAGGGTGAAGAGTGTTGCAAAGACTTGGAGAGAAAAGTATTCTTTAGGTAGTAATGTGAGTTTCTGTTTATTTCTCCTTCCCACCCAATTTACCTCAACACCAACATCAGCAATTATATCAGAAGTATACCTGACTTTCCAAAAGCTAATCTCAGATTACACCCCGTGGTCGAGTGGTATCAAGTCCAGCCGGACGTCTACCACTTTCCGCCATGGCACCTCATATCCTCGTTGGAAAATCTCCAAACGTCATATCGAGATCGATTACTACGCCAACTATCTCAAAATTCCAAGGAGTGCCATTCAAGTCAGCTTCCAGATCGCTCGAACTGAACACCCCGATCCCATCTCACTCCATTGATCTGAAAGGTCGAAACGGTACCAAAATCATCGACGTGGGTTCATCCGTCGTCGGTGGAGATAAGTTAGACAGATACAAATTTGACGGTGGGGCTGATCCGACCAGGAGATGGTTATGAAGTGATTCATTTGTTAGGTTATAAACTGTGGTCTATCGGCATTGTTGTGTGTATCTTTTAGGTGATTCAGCATTAAACCTTAGGTTTTAGATCATGTCAATTTATGCATCTTTTTTTTTGGTGTTGCGTCAAGTGTATGCTATCATCGTCTTCTCCGAGTATCGCTGCTTTATCTTTCTACTCCTCAACCTGGTCAATATCTCATTCACATGTTGACCTAGCAATGTTCCCATATAACTTGCTTTCTCCCCCTCATCACTCCCCTTCTCGTCACTCGAGAATAACCTTTTCTCCTGTCAACGCCTAACGTCTCTACGTCGGAGCTGACCACCGTCACGACACACTTCTCAACATACCATCTCCCTCTGTATCTATGCGTACTTCTTTATATTCAATTCCAATAAATTTAACGTGGTATCCGTCGACTGGAGATCACCCTTTAATTCGTACTGACCAAAGCTTTCACCTGTATATTATTATTCTTAGCCTTTGCCAAAACCTTCTTCCACATCTCTAAATCTTTCTTCACTTTTCTCAATTCTCTCTTACTCCCTATGTTCTTTCCATCCTCTTCATTCCCTACTATCCCTCTTTCTCTTTCTCTTTCTCTTTCTCTTTCTCTTTCTCTTTCTCTTTCTCTTTCTCTTTCTCTTTCTCTTTCTCTTTCTCTTTCCTTTCCATCCTCTACCTTTCCTTCCCCCTCAATTCCCAACGTTCTTTCCATAAACAATCCCTCGCTATTTCCCATTAACCTCTCCAACACCCTTTCTTTCTCCCTTAAACGCTCTTCGGCCCTCTTGACCCTCTCACCTCTTCTCTTTGAAAGTTCTACCGATCGTCTGGTCAAAACGGAAGAATAAACTTCATACCAATCATCTAAACTTTTTTGTGCCGCAGGTGATAAAGTTGAAGGGTTTACGATTTCCCATATTGGTCGAAGGACGTGTCTGATTTCGGTAGATGGGAAAGATAATGAAGATGATTGTGAGTTTGAGGTGTATGTTCCTTTTTCATGTTAGTTTTGTGATCCTTTTTCATTCCGTTCTATCAAGTTTCCATTGAAGAAAGAAGTAGAGATTAGATGATTGGGATTGAGATTGAAATTGAAGTGAATGCAAGATCATTTTAGCATTCATTTCGTACAAAATTATTCCGGGAGAGGGGTTGAAGGAAGGTTTGAGGATTTTATTACGGGTATTTAAATCTTTTCTCTGGGAGAAGTTGAAGATGAAATATCGAAATAGTTTTGGGCAAAGAAATGAACGAAGAGAAAGAGAGAAGAAAAAAAGTGGTTGAAATGTAAAAGTGTAAAATCATGATGTCCGATGTAAGATGTAAGATGTAATTATTGAAAATAAGACACAAACATACCATTATAAAATCTCATTCCCCATACTTTCCCAAATACCTTCCCACCATTTCTCCCTTCATCTTTACTTACATCCTCCCCCTCCATTTCAGATTTGATATGAGTAGTGGAATCAACATCAAATAAATCTTCCGATTCATCCGTATCTTCTTCAAAACCATCTGTCTCGTTTTCTTCCTTTTCCTTCGAGATAGATCCAATCACCGAAGTAGACGCTGTGTTTGAGGATGGTTTACTTAAGGAAGAGGACGTAAGTTCTGATGAAGAAGGATTGATTATGTCGGAGGAAGAAGAAATGAGTTTGAGTTTCGTCCGAGTCACTAAATAAAAACTATCCGATGGCCATTGTTTTGGTTTGACAAGGATCAATCTTCTTTTTGGTGATTCATCTTCAATGGAGGGATTGGTATGATCAGAGGATTGGGATGTGGTGGATGGTGGGGGATGGGAAGATGGAGAAGATGGAGAAAGTGGAGAGATGGTGGTCAAAGTAGGGATGAACCGTTTTCCTGTTGAAATTCCGAGTGAAGATAATAATTGAGGTAATTTTGACATTTCTCACTTTATTTCATTGATATCAGTCGGTAGAGGATTATTGATTATTGATGATTGTTGTTGTTGTTGTTGTTGTTGTTCTATTCGCTTCCACTACTCTTTCTTTCCGGCTACTGTCGCAGCGTATGTGTATTGCGTTGCTGATAAGAGATCTAGAGTGTCTTATGAGGTAAGTTTGACCTTTTCCAACATTTGACCGGGAATTTCATGAACTCAAAAGTCAGAAAGCGGTAATCGCCGCTTTACATTCCGGACCGTCACAGCAATACACGAGGTAATCTTACAACTGGCCACATGAACAAGAGTAAGTAAGAGAAGCATGCGAGGGGGGAAGTGAAGAACTCTAGGATGCATGACGAGCTGAGAAAGGAGCATAGTAAGGAAGAGAAACCACATCAGATCTCAAGGCATAGGGAAGAACTCTGGCAAAAACACTGTATGACATAAAAGATCTTATTTCACTAATCATCCCCTTCTAACAAATCTTCACCCGACGCCCAAGAATCAACCATCTCCATTGTCATACCCGTCTCCACAACGAACTCTGCTAACCCTCCTCTACCGTGATCGTCATCGTTATTAGACATTTCCACATCCTGTTCGCCCCTTTCATCTCTTATACCATTCTCGTTCGACTTGACCACATTTTCCCTCTCTTCTATACCAGATCCCATCTCTTGTCCGGTATGATCCCTACGGTTGACATCTGGTTCCGTCCCACTCTTATGAAGGGGTTCACCAGTAGGATGGACATTATCGGCGGGGGGAAATGTGTCAGTGGATGGTACCGTGTCGACAGAAGACAGAGCATCAATTGAAGGAAAAGTCATTACGGAAGACTCCCCATTACCCATTTGAGACTTCATATATCCCAAAGCGAAATCAGCGTTCAAAATCCCCATCTTGATGAAATCAGTCGTCGACAATTTTCCTCTTTCGTTCCTTCCTGATGCAGTCGCCGATGGAGCAGGACTAGGACTCGTATTGGTCAAATTTGATAACTTGGTTTTACCCGTACCAAACTTGGCAGCGGCAGAAGGTAAGAGAAAACGTCTTTCTGGTGGGGGTTCGCTATGATGTAAAGTTATGTCAAGGAGACGTTGTGCCAATAGACGTTTGGAAATCGTACGTGGATCTGAAATCTCGTTGGGTTTAGATAAGGATGTGGAATTATGTGGATTTGAAATAGATGAATCAGTTGGAAAAGATGAGTTTTTGGATGAAGTAGATAGGATTTGATTTGTTATAGATAAAGATGAGGTGGGATGGTTTGAAGATATGACATTTTCGATGATTTGAGATTCAGGAGAAGAAGGTATGACAGGAATCTGTTCTTCTCTGACGGAACTTATCTCTCTTCCTATAGCTTTGGTAGGAGACGGTCGTCGTTCAAGCTCTGAACGCCAATCTTTAGGAATTACAGAATCATGTTCACCCGCTTGAAGGGAGGCGAGATGTTTGGCACGTGCCGATTGAGCAGCTTGAGCTTCTTGAGCTTCTTGACGTCTTTTCGCTCCGATATCACGAGAGTTGAGCCATGCGTACCTATCATGTTAGCGCTGCTTCAATCCGCATGTCGCCTAGTCAGTCATGGGAAAAGATACCAAAATGGGTCAGACGAGGATAGTCCGTGAAGATTTCAGAGTAGCCGCAGGCAGGACAATAGCCGCTTTATGAGGCGGATGGTCCAACAAAGTACCCAAATACTGCAGGGAAGGGAGGATGATGGTCAAGAGAAGAGGGCATAGTCGGAGGAAATGTTTGGCCAGCTGAGGGATGATGCTTCAGAAAGAAAGGGACACAGTTTAGGCAAAGTATCGGGAGAACTGCAAAACAGATGACGGATCAAAAAGAAACGGAAGATAACCTACCACAAAACATTATGCAACTGCAAAACATCCTCTTTCCAAGCTTTCACAACTACCATATTTTCGTTCCTAAAATCCTGTGTGAGAGTTTGGCATCGTTTAACATTATCTATCTTATCAATTCCCTTCCACAAAGACCTCAAATACCATTGTACTTGGAAGAAGATAAAGAAAACTCACGAGGAGAGACAAAATCAAGAGCTATTTTTATACAATCTGCTAGATTACATACTTGGTGTGCACAACCTGCCGGGATGAACACAGCTTGACCCTGAGCATAAGTATGAATGTTTACGAAATTCTCTTCAGACGTATCTCTCACCATCGTACTCCCCAAGTCTGACTGAGAGACACGAGGAGATTTCCAAACACATGTGAGAGGTGCGGAGGGGGACTGATCACGGGTTTTGGCCGATGATGGGTAGGTTTACGAGCGACAGAATAGTGTCGCAGTGGAAGAAAATCAAGATCGATTCAACTCACAGGATATTGATAAATCCTCCAGCTCACAACTCCATATTCTTTCCACAACTGTTTTCTCAAATTACTATCCAGATAAAATAATTGTGAATGCACTGGATCCGTGAAACGATGTGACGAGTCGAATTTCTTCTTCAAAAAAGCTCGTATGGAATCGGCATCTTCGGCACGGTAGATATCCCAGACGGCGCATCCAGGTTGTATGGACTGTTTCGAGGTCTCAACACCGGTGGAGGGCGCGTGAGAGGTAGTAGTGGGAAGAGTGGACCCGTTGGAAAGAGCTTCAGACACGGGATGTGACGTAGCATCTTCGCCGACTTCAGATTGGACAGGCAAGCTTGACGGGACATGAGGATCACTCGACGGATTTGAGGATAAGGGCGGAACGGAAGTAGTACTCGATTCAGCAGATGGACCAGTGTCACTTGTGGCGGGAGCGGGTGGAGGAGGATGAGGGTTGGATGAAGCTAAGGGTGACGCGTGAAGCATCACGTTGATAGCGTCCGCTACGTCCATATGTAGTCTGGTGGAACCTTGACCACCTGGTCCATCTTTGGCCGCCTTCTTGTCAGCCCAAGATTCATCTAACAAGTCGACGGGAATGATCGATAGAGGTCAACGTATGGTATCGAGCACTATGATAGGCCGTCCTGAGGGAGCCCCCGGATGCGAGTGTCTCACAAAGATCGAGCATCCGGCGAATTGAGAAGAAAACTCACGAAAGCGTTATACATCTTTGGCCCGATGTCAGGTCGCGTGGGTCCAGGTGGGAACTGGATGTCAGTACCGGCCGCTCAATCCTACATTTACAGAGTTGACATGTCAACTGAATGTTCAGGAGTGCAAAGACTAGTGGATGGGGAGTGGGAGACGCGGACAACTCACATGAGCATACAGATTGAGCACACCGTCCCGTCGGGTATAATCCGGTACCGGCAAAGCATCGCAGAAATCGTTATACAATCCCGGATGAGTATGTTCGAAATCATCGGTCGACGGCCAATCTTTCAGTTTGAGTATATGTCGAGAGCGCGTATGAGGAGATTTGAACTTTTCGAAAAACGACGTGATGGTGTGAGGTTTACTCTGATTCGTTTGACAATCCACCACGTCTAGTCGTCAGCATAGGCTCCCGTTGGTACGATCAAGGCTTGCCAGCAATAATCCGATATCTGATCAGAAGAGAGCCATTGTGGATACAAACAACGGCAGGAACGAGATTGTTGAGACGAGGGGATTGTTTGGGACAAGGACCGAATGGCGAAGATTAAATGTCACTCACAGCACAACTCTTTTCCAAACCGCTCGATGAAATCATCCGGCGTCCAACTCAACTTGAACCTTTTCTCCACCCCATCCACAATCAACGGTTCCCCTTTCGCCCACAGTTGATCAAAAGTCTTGTTGTCTAGATCATCCGCGTGAATCTTCATAAATTTCAATGAATCATCTGCCAACTGCGCGGGATCTTCTGGTCTCGGAGCGGTTGGATGCGTTTCTTTGGTATATAATTTCGTCACCTCCTCCTCTGATATCCGTCGCTGAGGCGGATCTTCTTTGACTAATCTTCTAGTCGTCTCTTGCCATTCATGTACCATACGAGTCACATCCTCTATACGGTCCACAAGACCTAGCAGACTTAGTTTTCGTTCGACAGGAAGATCTGACTCAAGCACAAACTCGGCTAAACCTAACCATTGTTCTCGCCATTCCTCGGCGGATAATCGCGACACCGGCTGAAGGTCCGGACGGAAATGAAATGCCGGCTTTCTGGGATTGTCATTTTCGTATGATAGCATGGAACATTTTTGCAATCGTGGGCGGGCCGCGTCGGGGATGGACCAAGGGGAGATGTGCATCGTTTCGACCGAATCGGCAAAATAACGTTCGCAAACGAGACAGAATTCGCGACCGCATTTTCTGCAGAAGAAGAAACCCCCAAAGATAGTGGTTGAGCAGAAATCTATTGATCAGTTCTGATTTGGACTTGTCACCCGAAATGATAGGTGGGACATCGACTGACCGCAGAGTGACCGATGTTTCGCAGTGTCTACAGCCCGCTTGATAGCCTTGTTCACTATGGCATGTCTCAACTCGCGAGTGATCAATGGAGCTAGTACAGGAGCGACAGCTCGCTTATTATCAACAAACGTCTTGCACTAGCTGCCAAAATACTCACTTCCGTTTGAAGTATCTGTGCCTCTTCAAATTCTATATTGAACTTTGTAGGTAGACTAGTCATTTCTCCATCCCACTCGGTCGATTCAAATGTGCCCGGACCTATGATCTCCCCTGTCTGTGGATCTATCCTTCTTCGTTAGCATGATGAATACTAATTTGAACTCACGGAAAGACACGATAGTCTTTAAATCGACAACTGTCCCCTGAAGCTTTGGCAATGCACTGTGTGCATTTGCCCCATGGCTGATAACGTGGTCGAAGACAAGGACCCATTTGAAACTCCTTCGTCTTGCCAAAGAGATATTCTTTGATCTTCGTGTCGGTGAGACCTTTAACCTCTGCATTTGATCAGTCATGATCAGACAGTAAAGAGAGATAGAGACAAACTTGACTTCAACTTGTCCGGAGATTTGTCTTGGCCGTCGAGAGCCGTATCAGTCTTGCTCCGCTTTTTCTTGACGGCTTCTTCATCAGCCACGATATGAACTTATTTCATATGACTCACGTTTGTCAGGAGTGCCATTCGTTCGTGATCGCTTCGACGATGTTTTACCCTCCTTTCCTACCTCTGACGGAGGTATAACCTCTACCAATCTTTCATCTCCAGAAAGGCTTGCCAGATCATCTTCAACTCCAGACTTCTGCCATTCAAAATCCATATCATTATCGTCTTGCTTGCCTTTTCCTTTTCCTTTCCCTTTCCCTTTCCCCTTTGCTTTTCCTTGTCCCTTCGTTGCGGGTTTCGTAGGGGTCGATGCGGGGGGCTTTGGCTTTGGCTTCGGCCCCCTCTTCTTTCCCTGATACGAGGAAGGTGCAGCTTGTTGAGGTTCAGCGGCAGGTTCAAGTACCGGGGAAGGCATCTCAGTGGGTAATTCCGGTAAAGATGTCAGAGGTGAACTGGTAGCTGACATATTAGCATAACTCATTTAGCTGGAGAAGCTGATAAACTCGCCCGATGTGCCACGTTGGTTCCTTTGATACTGCTCTTCACCACCAATCTGGTCCAGATATTCTGCAAGTAATGGTACGTGCTTTCCCAGGGCGTCATCTATGTAATCCATCCCATTCAAGTCTCCATCCCCTGCTTGACGAATTGCCGGTTCTGGATCACTGGCATCATGTGGGATCAGGCCCAAGCGCGTGTCGTCGTCGGAGACACTCGGAAGAGGAGGCAGTGGGTCGAGATTGTTCATCATGGGCCGGTAGAGCTGTAGAGAGACCCGTCGGCTGTCGACTTGCGGGTGGACTGGAATGAGGAAGAAACAAATATGGATTGATAGTGGGACGATGAGCAGGGTTGGAAATGGTCAGTTTCGTGGCCAAGTGACTTCGAAGCGAGGTTCAAGTCGGAGCAAGAAGGAGAGAGATGGGTAGTCACACTACTTCCAGAACCAAAATGTGTTTGTGCTGGGTCGAGGGAACGAAGAACGGTCGTAGATACGACGTATGATACTTATGTATGTACTTAGGTGGAACAGAGTCGAGGGTGCAAGTTGGGAGAAATGGAAATGGAAATGTGGCACTCTGGCGAATGTGGCGAAATGTGGCAAAAAGTCGAAATCTGCGCGCGCGTTTGGGGGGTAGCTACGAGTAGAGTACTCGTACTCGTACTCTACTATCCTGAACACACCCAAAACGACATCTCGGTAAAATACATAACCAAACTGATATGAGCCCTTCTCAGGACAGAAAAGTTCCACTTTGGGGATCAACAATCTCACCACTCAATTTTGTTCAGTGAAGCATGTCTCGTTGGGTGTGTGAACGCCATCTCCAACATGATCAGTTGATTGGCCGGCATGTCACACAAGCACTACAAGCAGTTGACTTAAAAGGCGCATGTCAAACTTAGGCCTCTCCCTGTACATGCTAAGTTTTTTTTTTCATTGAAAGAACTAGATTTCTCATTTCCCCCTCAAGATATACATCTCTTTGATGCAGAAACTCGTGACGACGGCGCTACATACGTCAATAACATCAAGCCAAGCACTCCCCTCATACTCTCCTCCCAAACGTCTCAAGAAGTAGCACCATGCAGTCTGGTAAGTCTTCCTGTAGGAATTACTTACTGCTGAAGAGTGGATCACTGCATGTTCTGTTGGACAGATACTCAGCTTCAGATCTCATGGGATCATGGCTTTGCGGTTCAGCAAACACACCACCTCCTCGGTAGTGCACAAGGGGAGATCCAACTGGAGCATTGAACCAAGTAAAATCGCCGAAAGCGTCTGAAGTGTGAGCCATATTCTGTTCTGTATCTTCACTGCTACTATTGAAGTGGTTCTCATTCACGGAATTGTCAACCTCAAATTCACATGAGCTGGGTGTTGGAGATGTCTCCGACACCTTGCTTCCATGCAGCCCATGGGTTGGTTGGGAATCAACAGTGGTCATGGCCACCAGAGGGGGGATAAATAGCTCTTCGGAAGACCCAGGGTATTGAGGTCCTTCAGGTCCAAGAAACAACCCTTCAAAACCGGGATAGACGTCCCCGCCCGTCATTCCGCGTAAAGGCAAGGAAGGTCTGGATCTCTGCCAGGTCAAGAACCATTTTCAGGGCTAAGAACACTAGACTTACACAATTTTTACAAGTGATCCAAATTCCTTCTTGTCTCATGGCTGATATAAGTTCATTGCGTTGTTTCATGAGGGGCGGAATAGGATCTCCTGCCGCCTGAACGATGGAATCTGTAATCATAGAAAGTTAGTTCAAAGTATGCTTCAGATGGGTTAGAGTGTCTTCTGACCGGTAAGCAGTCGTAGGTCGAATACGGCCGCTTCTACCGGAGCATGGTAAGACACTTTCAGAAGTTGTATGGTTTTGGAAGCATGGATAGATACGTTGCGGTTTTTCCATTTCGTCCAAAATGATTGAAGTTAATTGAGTCAGCAATGAATTGTAATTTCTTCTTCTTCTTCTTCTTCTTCTTCTACTACTACTTCTACCATCTAAGTATATATCTTATGAGACATACCAGTCCACTGAGGGAAAGAGTGAATGGTTAAAAGGAACTTGTAACCCCTACCCTTTTCCCCGGATCTCTACCCTTCTCTTGACATCGCTTTTTCATCCCGGGTGTTGGAAATCTCCAATTGACCACACAATGGGTCATCTCCTCTACTTCTTCTCCTCTGCTACCCCTCCAAATATGATCATCTCTTCTCTTCCTATTCTTATGAGTGTTGTACAATCTCACTTTGGTGCGGTAACTGGGTTGAGAACCATAGTCTTCGGCCTCGGGGTCTCCGAAACCTCACACCCTTCCAGTATTGGTGTCAGAGTACGCTCATGTTTCGGTTCACGTCCTGTCAAAGGCCGGAGGATAAATCACCGCAGTCCCCCTAGTCTTATCTGGTACGAGAATGGTGTACATGTTTGGGACAGAAGTCATCAGATGATCCATTCGATGATTCTCTGAAGTAGTCTACTTTCAGAAAAGAGGACGTGATTGGATGAAGTGCGTCCTCTCAAGTAGTAACTCATCATCATCTATGAATCCCATCCCTACGTTGTCAGTCCTCCGTGTACATCCTCATCCTGCACGTTGGTCAACCGTTCTCATAATGCTGCCTGAGTCAACCTATCCTTGTTGCCCTCCAGGACCTCCACTGACCCTTCATAATCAGACGGGAGTGGAGTGAGCTGTCATGGGACAAAACCCTCGTATGCTTCCTACAGCCGACAACCGATAACTTGGTGGGTAATAACCTTCGTCTGACTCGATCTTCTCAATATGACCTACCAACTATTGGTGATATCTTAATCACCAATTGCTGGTCAAATACCTAAACAACTTTCTAAAACATAATCATAACGGACCAACCTCACAAGTGAGAAAGTTCCGGACCAAAACCGTCCTTGACTCATGACAATAATGATAGTTTTGTACAATACAGACCGAGAGAAGTGCTACGCTGATGAGTTGCTGACATACATATGATCATGATCAGTCTCTCAGCGGAACGCAGTGATTTGGTACCATACTCGTAATATCATGGCTATCAAGTGGTGGTGTATTCCTTCATTAGTATGCATCCTCCTCATCAATACCAAAACGATTTGTGCAATCATCACCTGTTCTCTTCCCCAACACTTGATAGAATTCTCATCACCAAAGTTCATTACCCGTTGAGTGTTGGGATGCTTGCATCATCTATCTCGGCTACGGTATGTAGCATTGCCAGTGCTCACAGAATCCTCACTATCAAAACTGTCACTCCCTTGTGCATGACTGTCTCCTGTTTGGTCAGTAAGCTCCTTGTCTCCTGTTTGGTCAGTAAGCTCCTTGTCTCCTGTTTGGTCAGTAAGCTCCTCGTCTCCTGTTTGGCCAGTAAGCTCCTTGTCTACCTTCTCAAATGCTGACTCGAGCCACCCGTAAGGAGGAATATTTCTGCTTCGACAAAACTCATGCCAGGACATAGTGGCTCTCTGGTCTATCAACACTGGTTATCCCCTGCTTTCATCAAAAACAACTCACACAACTGTCACAGAGTGAGATACACCTCTCTGACAAGGACCGGACAAGCTGGCTATGGTAAAAAGGGGACTCTCCACAAGACAGCTTCTCTGAAATGGTGAGTTCATTATATGGACGTGACTGAAGGAGAACAATGTTTTCCCGCTCTATTTCAAGCTTCTCCAAACCTCTCCAAGTTCCTTCCAAGTTACGAGAGTCCCCAAGCACAAAGTAACTAGTATCGTTGTTGACACAGGGTGTCAAGACTGACCCTCCAAAGCACGGAAAAGGCATTTCGGGAATGCCGCTGAATGTCATGTTAGGTAGGCGGATCTCTGTGAAAAATGTTTCCACTTGTCCTCACTTCTAGCCTGTATTTAAGTCATGGATGGGGGCAGTGCTCCATTGGAGAAGCAAATCAAGGGTTGAAAGGTGGATTCTTGTGACGTAATTATCATACTAGCAACTTCCACGGTGAACCGGTGACCGTTGACATATCCTCGGCTTTCTGCACTGCCTCAACACTGCTTGACACTGCCTTAGCACTGCTTCAACACTGACTGTATACTGCATTCAGGCATCTATCCACTTGTCTTCCATGTCTAGACTCATCTCATTCTTGCCTAATCCTCACGCAACGGTCATTGGTTTGCACGCTATCAAGACCGAAAGAATC